TGCCCCCTATAGTGAAAACCCCCCCAAAAAAAAAAAAAAAAAACTCATTTCTTTTTAGTGTTGTATTCCATTGTTTGGTTGTACCACAGTTTATTCAGTTTGGCCAATTACTGAAAGATATCTTGTTTGCTTTCAGGTTTTGGCATTTATGAATAAAGTAGTTATAAACAAAAAAATAAAGCTTTGACTTCAGAAAAACAAAATACAATTCATATGGAATTAATAAGTTCTCTACTTGCAGAATTTGTAAAAGTTCTGTACACCAACCAGGTTCTACTGCCAGGGCTGGGCCTACAGGAAGGCTATCTGTCTAATGTGTGTGAAAAGATTGCAGATACCAAAAACTACAAGCAAATGTCTGTCTAGACGGGTTCATAGAATTTCTTGCTGTCCTTATGATTTTTATTTCTGTTTTAAATTTTCAAGGCATGACATAGAAGTTTAAGTTGCAAAGAAACACAATTTAAGACAAATAAGTATAGATCATGGAAGTTGATTATATTCATTCTTTTACTCACCAAAAGTTCTGAACAGCAACAGTGTAATCTGCCTTAAGTGGTTATCTTCCTTACTAGTTCTATTGGAACTGAAATAGTTATAATAAAAAAAAAAATTGAGAGGTTTTTGCTATAGGGCGCCTGCGCTCACCAGAAAGACAGAGAGAGACAGAGAGACAGAAAGCAAGAAGTTACCCCCTGGGGTGATGGCCACGCTGCAATCCCTTCTCCATTCTCCCTTCAGGATCTTGGGCACACAGGCACATGCACCCAGCGTGAGTTTAAGCCTCCGGGTCCGGGACTCAAACCGCGGTCAACTACATGGGAGTCCAGTGACATAGCCATTATGCCAACTGCTGGTCCCACACTTACTATTTTTTTAAAATAGTAACACACTTTCTCTTATTATATTAAAGTCAGGCAATGATCTGACAATAAAAAGACTGCTTATGAAATACTATTATGTTAAACTTTACTTACAGGATGTTAAATCCTTAGAACTAAGGTTTTCCCCAGAAAAAAAGATGAACGGAAATATCAATTGCTTTTCAGACTTGATAGTTGCTGCTTCAAAAGATGGTTTTATATAGGGACCAGCAGTTAGCGTAATGGCTATGCGGCTGGACTCCCATGTAGTTGACTGCGGTTTGAGTCCTGGACCCAGAGGCTTAAACTCACGCTGGGTGCATGTGCCTGTGTGCCCAAGATCCTGAAGGGAGAATGGAGGAGAAGGGATTGCAGCGTGGCCATCACCCCAGGGGGTGACTTCTTGCTTTCTGTCTCTCTGTCTCTCTCTGTCTTTCTGGCGAGTGCACTCGCCCTATAGCAAAACACCTCTAAAAAAATAATAAAACAAAAGATGGTATATATATATATGTGTGTGTGTGTGTGTATATATATATATACGTTGAAACACAATGAACTGCTTCTATTTTGGTCAGCACCCACATGTCAGCATGCAGTGATCCTGAACAGATCATAGGCACACGCAGCCCGGTGCCAGGAAGGCCCTCCTGCGGCTGGGGCTCCGCGGATGGACGAAGTCCTTGCTTAATCCCTGCTAAGGATCATCAAGGTGGCGGCGGCGAAACCAAAGCCAGAGTACTCACGGAAGTCAAGGTTCTTTTTGTTCCAGTTGTCAGATTCCAAACCAGACCCAAATGGATTGCGAGGATGACTAGAAGAGAACCCTGCTGAAAACGACTCCCATTTTAAAGCAAAGGCAATTACGAGACAAGAAAACGATCATTCAGAGAGAAGTGTGTGCTTATGGGTGTCTTCCTGTGGCCTCTCTCCGCAGCTTCTAGGGGGGCTCTGAGAGCCGGCAGGTCTGAGTAACCCTGGTGAGGCTTTTTTCACGTAATCAAACCTAAGCTAAAAACCTAAAAAGCGCGTAGGCGACCACAGAGAGGGCAGCACTCACTCCCTAGGCTGGCGGTGGGGTAGGAGGAGGGGAGATTGCGCTGAGCGTGGTTCCAAAGGAGGGAGGTTAAAGCCTCTTCGCGACCTCACCCGATGGCTCTGGCCTACGCAAAACAGTGCCATGGAAAGCGTTGGTTAGTGACAGTGCAAAAGGGACTTGAGGAGGGAAGGAAAGCAGCACCCCTCGATAACGGTGGGGGAGAGAAGATATGGAGAGAGCTCTGAATTCCTCCCCGAAGGCCAATTTCAGAGGGTGGGGTGGAGGGTACAATCTATGCTTAGGCTGAGGGCGGGAGCAGAGGAGAGGGAGACAAGGTGAGGATGGCTTAGAAGTGGGAGATCAGTTAAGAAACCAAGGTGTAGGCAAAGCACCCCTACACACCCAGTAGTCCCACATGCTGCGACAGGAAACCTTTATATCTACTCTAACAAACACCCCACGCTGGAGGGCTATTGCAGGGAGGCCAAGGGAAGAGGCAAGGAGAGAAGGTAGAGACCCCAGGCATGTGATCAACAGGAAGGTGATTGTGTGATGTATCTTTTCACAGTTGAGTTAGAAGTGCCCCACCAGGTAAGATGGAGATAAATTTAAATACACTTTCTTGATCCCAGAAGTTCAACTAGTGGACAGTGGTTACACTCGACAGGGTGATCTGTTAGCGCTATTCATATGTCGCAAATGGACCAAAAATTAGTATAATTTACAGTATCTTAAGATAAATTGTCTTTGAATGGGAGCTTCCTTTCCAGTACTTTGAGGTTTACAAGACATATCTAGAAAACTGACCACTCTGGTCGGACGAGGGAGAATCGGTGTTCTTTTTGATTAATTGCTGTAGTGCTGTCTTTCCAGTGGCTGAGGGAACTTTATGTTCTCTTTAGACATCATTAGGTGCTGAAGCTCCTGCAGGATAACTTTGATGCTATATGAATTCTGCCACTTTGTTAGTGCTGATAATGGCTCTTAGGTCCACCACTCCTTTAGAACTATTAATTCCATTCTTATTAATTTTTGTTACAAATCTTACAAAGGAGGGTGCTTCTGGATATTTAGATCCACATTCTATTTTAAGGCTGTATATTCAGTTTTCTTAAATTGTTCTTGGAGGCCCAATTATCATCCCTTTCCATCGTGTAAGTGTCATGTCTTTGTCATCTTCTAGACTCCATCTAACTATGCCATCTCTTACTCCTTTCTGGCCTTCTTCAAGTTCTTCCAACAGTCAGAAATTGAGAGGGAATTTTACTCCCAAGCCCGTGGTGGTTGCCATCTTGGGTTGTTGTTGCTTCTGCATTTATTATTTTATATTATTCATATAATTCTTATTCTCTCCCTTTATACATGCTGCTAAAATGAGAAGGAAAAGATTGTTATTTTGCTGTGAACTTGACATCCACACTCAAAGTTCTTTTTTATTTTCAGAGTGATTTTTGCTATAGGGTATGTGCACTCACTAGAGAGACAAAGAGGTAGAAAGTGAGAAATCACCCCCCTGGGGGGATGGCCACACCAGAATCCCTTTCCTACATTCTCCTCTTGGGATTTTGGACACACACACACACACACACACACACACACACACACACACACACGGCGTGAGTTTTAAGCAGCCTGGTCCAGGACTTGACTGTGGTCTACTATGTGGGAATCCAGCGACATAACCATTACGCCATCTGCTGGTCCCAACCACACTTATTAAACTCATTGGGCTAGCAGGTGGAGTGGTGGTTGAGGCGCTAAATGACTTACCATGACTTACCATGGTTCAAGTTCTGGACTGGGTGGCTTGCTTTCTCACTTTCCCTCTCTCTCACTCTCTCTCTCTCTCTCTCTCTGGTCAGATTAAAATAATAATAATAACTAAAACTAAATAAGTCTTTAAAAATGTAAACTAAAAAAGTTCTAACCTAATTCCTTGCTTGTTCTTAGAATCAGCAGTCAATTCATTAATTGCAGTTTCATAGGATTTTTACTTGTTTTAGGTCATTATTATCGAATGATTCCTTAGCAGTTAGCCCAAACCCATACCAAAGACAATCTGGGTTGATTTATAATTTTTAAAATTTTCTCATGAAGTCAAAGTGCCAGTTACTTTCACATGTGAGCAAGAACACAAGGAACACCCATATGCCCAAAGGAACACAATACATTTCAGAAAAAATACATATTACACATATTACCTTGAAATTAAATTGTCATAAATTTAGAACATTGTCCATGCTGACGTGTAGTGAAAATGAATCCCTGCTCTTTGGGAAAGCTCTTTGGAGCACAAACAAACAAAAAATGTTTAACCTGGGAACCAGCAGTTAGTGTAATGGCTATGTCGCTGGACTCTCACGTAGTTGACCGCGGTTCGCGTCCCGGATCCGGTGGCTTAAAACTCACGCCGGGCGCGTGTGCGTGCATGCCCAAGATCCCGAGAGGAGAATGGAGGAGAAGGGATTGCGGCGTGACCATCCCCGTT